AGGAATAAGAGATGATTACTGTAGGTATACAGCCTATAGTATTAGAATTAGAGATCTTTCTGGTCCCTTCAGCTACAAGGCTCATGGCTTTCTCTGACCTTAGGGCTAGCAAAAAAAAAAAAAAAAAAAAAATATGTGTGCTCATGTGGTAAACAACAAAAGGCTCCAAGAGGAGAGCTGTCTTGATGTAGACATGAGTCCCTTCGAGAACAGGCTCACACTCACAGTAGGAACATGGCCTGGGCCCCTGTGGAAAAGAAATAGAGCTGAGAGTGCATGTAGACATCTGAGCATTGCCCAAACATTGATGGGAGGAAGGTATTGGGGTGTCTCCTTACAGGAAATATCCCCCTTGCCCTAAACGTAGTTTAAGGTTTCAGCTTTCACAGAGCATGTTAAAACACCAATAATAACAATAACAATAACTAATATTTTGTGTTTGTTACTAGAGGCATCTTTATAAATTTTTGCATACACACTATTTTAACTTATGTAACTAATTCATCAGCGCTAGTACAGTAGGCCCTGCTGGATCCAGAAAAAAAGAAAGAAGGTGACCATAACAAAAGTTAGTAGTATTTAGGTATAAGTTACCACAGATGTTTTTCAAGTTTCGACAAAATTACACTGTATAAAAATTTTCTTCTTGTCAATGGCTGATTTCATTGATCAAGAACATTATAGACTGCAAACATTTTGTAGCCATTCTGATCAAAAGGCAGAACCTGTTTCTCAACCCTAGGAGCTGGGCTGGCCGGAGAACTGGCTTTGGAATGTGCTGAAAGGGGCAGCTTGCCTCTTCTGAGCCTAGCCTTAAGGGACCTTGCAGCTTCTGTTCCCTCCTAGAAGCTAACTGCCATGGGATAAGCCTACAAGAAGGATAACCAGGTGGAGAGAGGCCCCAGATCAGCCCGGCTGAGGCCCCAGAAGTGTGTGTGCAGCAGAACAACTAAGCCCATCTCAGACTGGAAGGGCCTCCCAGCTGAGCTGAGGATAATGACCTAAACAAACTATTGTCGTTTTAGTCACTAGTTTCACAGTTGTAGTCAATTTGTTTATACAGTTCTGAATTTCACTTTTTCTCTTAACATGATCTGTACACTCCTAGTTATTGAAATTTCAAAAATATCACTTTTAAGGGTATAATTGTCTACCATAAAGGTATGTTTTTTAACTGTCTCCCACTAATGAACATTTATGCTGTTTCCAAGTTTTTTTGTTGTAAGTGGCAATGCCATAAACATCTATGTACATCTTTGTTTATATCCCCAAACATGTCCTTAGTTTGTTTTTTTGTTTTTTTGGTTTTTCTCCGGTACCGGGAACCAAACTCACGACCTTGCGCTTGCCAGGCAGGCGCTTTGCCCCTGAGCTAAATCCCCAGCCTCCTAAACATGTCCTTAGGGAGATAGAGTTACTGAGTTAGAGACCACCAACATTTGAAGCTTTATCCCCAAAAGAAACCATAACCTACAGATCTAGGGAAAATAACCCTAGAAAGAAAATGTTTACCTTGCACTCTGGACCCTCAAGCTAGGAAAGGCCCTGATTCTATTTTGATGGGAGAGGTCCGAAGGGAGTGGTGGCCAGGTAGTACCCAGGTCTGTAAGGGTGAGGCTGGGCTTTCTCTGCAGGGGGCCAGGGGATTCCAGCTCAGGGCCCACCCCACCACAGGACTGCTCAGAGCCCACCCCTACAACTTTTGGAGTGCATTTTCCTGCCACAGAAAGGAGACACCCAGCTCCCTCTGTGTCTTCGGGAGGGGCTTCTTTCCCTCCAGCTGGGAGTCCTGCCAGGGGGTGAGGAGCCGATGTTCCCAAGGCCAGTACATTTGAGTTTTGCTCTTGGCTGGAATTCAGCCCAGGGCCAAGTAAACTGCATCTGGGCCAAGGTGAGACTGTCTCCATGCGGTCTTTGGGCCAAATGGAGAAAGCGCACAGAGCTGAGGGCCAAGTGCGGTGGTGCAGGCTTGCACTAGCACGTGGACGGGGAGGATCGGGCCATTGGCTGGCTTGGGAACTTGCTGGCAGCATGCTTCAACCCTAGACCTCAGTCCTGGCCTGAGGAGGGTCAGAGACACAGTTTTAAACCTCCACAATGTATACCTTAGTGCCGAGGAAATCCCTTCATTTTAAAAAGAAGAAAACTGAGATCCGTTGGGGATTTGCTGTATGCCCGACACTTTGCAGTACAAGGGGTCTTACTAATACTCTCATCTTTTAAAATGAGAAAGTCTAGGCCCACGAGAAAGGGCCTTGCTGAAGGTTACTGGGCTAATTCATTAATGAGCCAGCCAGGGCTAGGACTGGGTACTTTTAAATCCCTGGGTATGGAAGTATAGTAGGGAAAGGATCACAGGACTCAGGTTCCCTCCAAGCTCTGCCTCTTACGAATCCTTTGAATTTGGGCACAGTTACTGATCCCACATGAGCTCCAATTTTCCTCTCCTGTAGAACCAGAGGCTGCCCACCTCGGAGGGTCCTCTTAGAATGCTTGCAAAGGACCGCATGTCCTGTCCAGCCTTCAGGTGGAGCATATTACAGGCAGTTATGACGTCCACCACACTAGTTTCTGCCACCTCTTGTGGGAGCCCCAACAGAGGAACCCGCCTAGGTCCATGTCGCAGGGATTTCTGGGAGATCTCTGACACTGAAGCAAACCCCTTCTCCACGCCACTATATTCTGATGCACGCTGGGGCCCTGGTTGCCTGATTCCTCTGCCACCATCTGGCTTCTTCTCTGAGAAATAGCTTGACAGGAACACCAGCAAGAAGGCTCAGCACTCTAAATCATTTTCTGCATCTGTCCTGGACAAACTCAAACCCTGCTCAGAGCAAGGGTAAGGTGCTGGCCCAAAGTCAGGCCAGAGAGACGACTGAAAGGTTGCCTGTCCGAAATGATCTGCATCCAGGAGATGCAGTAGTTCATCCTGCTCCTCCCGAGAGATCTCCAGCAGGAATGGCCCCCATGCCTTGCTCTGCTGGTCCTCAGCCCTTTGCAGATCTGATCCGCCTGGAGCTTCCCCAGGGTCTGGCTGAGCATGCGTGCCTTCCCTTGAGGGTCAGCCCCAAGGTTCCCTTTAAAGGCTTGGGAGTGAGCACAGCCACCTCAAATGGGACCCCGTAAGACCAGCCAGAGAGCCTAGAGCTGCTTCCCATCCTGCCTGGGAAACATTTCCTTTTCTATTTGCAGAATCACAGATGTTGACTTTTGATCTCATTCTCTCTCCCCTGGGGCCTCAAATCAGTGGTGATAGCTATTTCTTTCTTTCTTTTCTTTTTTCTTTTCTCTGTGAAGAAAAAAAGTCAGGAGGAGACTGAAAGGTTTTGAAAACACTGAAGCAGTAACATACTGACTACTGGGGCGAGAAGAAAAAGATCTAGCCCTCTCAGGAGAGGCTGGTGGCCATGGGCACACAGAGCTGGCTTGGCGCTCTGCAGGGCAGTGCTTCTTCGCCTTTAGTGTCTGTCTGTCATCGAGGGATCTTATTACAGTGCAATTCAGGCTCCATATCTAATGAGGTCCTGGCTGCTGCTCCGGATTACGCTGAGAGGAGTAGCTGGGGAGGTTCTTCCGCGCTCCGCCGGGCCTGCTCCTGCAGCACTGGGATCCATCAGCCCTCCCTGCCACCATCGCGCAGCTGGGCCTCTGCAGCCAAGATGCTGCCTGTGCAAGCTTCTTTGCAGACACTTTCACTGAAACCAGGTGGGTGGCGCACGCCTGGAATCCCAGCACTAGGGAGGCTGAGGCAGAAGAGTTTGCAAGTTTACAAGTTTGGAACGTTGCAAGTGTGAGGCCAGCTTGGAATACATAGTGACTTCAAGGCCAGTTTGAAGTACATAGTGATACCCTTTCTCAAAAGACAAAAAATAAAGTGAAAAAGAACAAAAACAAAAACAAAAAGAACCGTGTACTTATTTGTACCCCTAGTGTTCCACTGAAACTAAAGGGCTTCCTGAGACAAGCCAGTTTCCAAACGAGTCGCACGGTGGCTCTTGGGGAAGGAGTAGGGAGTTGGGGTGGGGCCTCCTTCTCTTTCCCCATTTTCTGTCCTCTTTAGCTTATTCATCTTTTTAAAAAATGATGTTCAGCTCAGTCATTACAATACATATTGAATCTCATTCCACAAGTGCACAGGCTTTTAAATGCCGGTGAAATTTGCCTGTTTCTGTAGTAATGTTTGTTTGTTTGGAGACAGGGTTTCACTATGTAGTTCAGGCTGGTCTTGAACTCAGAGCAATCCTCCTGCCTCAGCCTCTGAGTGCTGGGATTATTAGCATGTACCACCACACACAGCTCTAACAGTTTTTTTAAGTCAAATTCTATACATTTTGTGCACATGGATTTAACCTAAAAGATGCATCCCATGACAACTCATAAATAAGAAAACAGATTCTGCAATGACCTCCAGCAAGGTCTCATCTTTTAAAGATTCCAGCATCTCCCAATACAGCCACCCTGGAGACAAAAACTTCAGCACATGGGACTCTGGGGAAACATTCCACAGTCAAATTAGAGCAGTGCCTTGCAAGGATGAGTTCTTTCCGGGCATTTAACCATAACAATTGACTATCAGAGATTACATCAGACACAATTAACCTGAGGAAGGACTAAAGTACTCATATAGTTTTTCAAAAAGCTCCCCAAATCACCAGATGTCATGGTGCATTACTATAATCTCAGCATTCAAGAGGCTGAGGCAGGAAGCTCTCAAGTTCAAGGTCAGCCTGAGCTACACAACCAGATGGTATCAACCACGGTTCCTGCCTTCAAGATTCGCACAGTCTAGAAAGGAGATTGTTAAAGTAAAACTAACTGTGCCTCGAGGCTCCATAAATAAAGAAACAGGGAAATGTTGCTTCTGGATGTTTAAGTAAAAGAGGAGGAGGAAGTGAAGCAATCTGCCTGTTACTCTGTCATCATATTCCCTCTCCCTCCCCCAGGGGGGATACAACTCAGATTAAAGAACATAATGAGCTGCAGGGCAGATGCCTAGCTCTCAGAGTTGAGTCCTGGGGAGAAGGGGCAAGACTGTGCCACCGAGATGGGTGGTTTTCCAGACCGGCCACTTCTTAATTCAAGAATGCAAACCTGCCCCACTGATGCCAGAGGCTCAGCGAGGGATGATTTTCAGCTGTTTCTTTGCTAAACTCCAGGTAATCAAAGTCAGCCTTCTTCTTTCTCCAACCTCTTTTCTGAAGGCTTATTCAGCCACAGCCTTCAGCCGCCCTCCCTCCCAGAGGTGCTCAGCGGGTCTCCTCACTCCGTACCCACCCAGGCTTACCTACCCCCAAATGCTCTCTCCCTGGATGCAGTCCGGACTGCTGGGCTGCAGGTGACAATTACCTGGGCTGGAACTTATGCTGAGTGGGAAGGGCCAGGGAGTGAGAGAGCTGCTTAAGAACACTCATTTAATGAAGAAGGTGTGAATCTATGACTCCAGGAAAAATTCCACTGTGGGCGCCCACCTCTAAATCAGTTCACTAGAGAAGAACATAAAAGGATTTGGGCAAAAAATGGCACATGCCCAAGCTTGCCCCTGACCTCACACCTGGGCCTCAGCAGGAAAGGGTGAGTGGTGATCCCTCCCACCGGGGGTTGAGCTTGTTCCCAGGCAGAGCTGTCCAAAATGGAACGGACTGTTTCCTGAGCGTGAGTTTCCCACCAGAGGCCTTTTGTGGCATAAGGGTTGAGATCGAGGGCAGGAATGTTGAAGCGATGGTTAGGGTACTGACTACCGTGAATGCATTTTATAAGAAACCTCCTAAAAGCACTTCATGGCCTATGTTTTACCACCTTCTGATTCTATGATTCTTTGAACTGTCAGCTGAATTCAGGTCTCCTGCAAGAGCGACAGCAACAACGCTTCAAAAACATGAGTATCAACAAACGTTCCCTGGGACTCTGTTTGGTTGCAGCTCTGTAACGGTCTCAAATACATCCTCTTTCTCAATCCTGGCATCCACTCCGAGAGGTAGGTATTATTATGCCCATTTTGCAAATTTTAAAACCAAGGCTCAACAACCTTGAAAGATACGCTGAGTATCACACAAATGCCAAGTGGTTGCAGACTGGGTTTCTTGACATCTGATCTGATGCTCATAATATGAGATCATGATTTGTATTCTATTGACACACAGTAACGTCGGAGGAAAAAGTCCTCAGATCACTGATTTTCAAGAAAGTAAATGATTTTAAGAAGGAAAGGATTTGGTCAACTTCAACGGCTGAGATTAGCTGTCAGGGCAGTGCTCAGGAGCCACCAGCAGGGGGCAGGAGCCTGCCACGCTAGACGCTTTTAACCCGCAGCCTTCGAGGGCTGGAACTGTACAGTAGGACGTTTTCTCAAACAGCAAACCCAGAGGGCAAGCCCAGCCAGAGAGGGCTGCTGCGCAGGCTGGCGCGATGTGGGAAGAAGAGGCTCTCTTCCATGGCCTGCACCCAGAAGGTGGAAGATGCTTCCAAGGCCGAGAGGCAGCGTGAGACACCGGCACGTCCACCCAATTGGAAGAAAAATGTCCAGGACTCAGGGCTCCACTGCCATGCTCTGGCTGGTGACGGCTGTCCTGTCTGCGTCAGTCTCTGCATTCACGAGAGAAAATAATAACTCCTGCTCTTGGGAGTATGAGGGCAATCGGAGTAAAAGCACTTTGCAACCTTTCCTGAGCATACAGGTGAGTTGAGGGGAGTGCGCAGGGTGCTCCCTGCAGCGCCTGTTACCGGCGCATGAGCTGGTGACAAAGTGAAGGAGGCCCGGGTAGGGACGAGAGGAAGCAGGGAACGTCATGGCCCCATGTGGTTGCGGCCTCCTAGATATCAGGACACCAGGACATCATCCCAGTGCAGCCTGCTTCACATGGGCTGCCTGTCCCCAGAAGTCCTACGTCCTAAGAGACGCCCATGGCTCCGAGATGTGACCAAGCTCCCTCAGCTCCAGGGATGGGTGGCACAGCCCCCTCTCAGCCCGCCCAGTTCAGATCTGAAAAGGACCGAATTCCCCCTCTAACTGCTCTCCCGGCAGCCCGGCACCATCACAATAACCCATGCTTCCCACGGCTACCCAGGGGCACATCTTGGGCATATGCAAGGTTTGCTTCATCAGGCCAAGGAGCCCAAGAAGCTGGGAGAGAAGATACTGCTTTAACCCCTTTCTCTGAGAAGAATAAACTCTCAGTACTTAACTGATTTGCCCAGAGTTACCCACAGGGTAGAACACAAAACAAAACCCAGAACCTGAGCTCATGGCCCTAAAGACACAACTTTACATTAATATATCTGCCAACACAGATCTTTCATCTGCTGTCTCTCTCTCTCTCTCTCAAGTTTCTGGTATAGAAATACAACTGTCATCCTCAACATACGACACACTATCATTATCAAGCTGTGCAAAGACCCTCGTTTTGTTCAATTCATTTTATTTCATTTTACTCTTATGCCCAACTGTATTCCCACTCTCCCATACCTGTCCTTGTCTCTCCCTTCCCAGATGGCACTGCTTATAATTTCTAAACATGTTTTTGGAATATGCATGTATTTTGAGAGAGAGAGAGGATCTTTCTGGATGGCTAGTGTGTCCTAAATTTATGACAGTGGTTTTGGGCTACAAACCTTTCTCTTATTTCCTACCTCAAATGCTTTGTTATTTTTAATCATATAAAAATAACATCAAGTTTACCATCTTAACATGGGTGGGGGAATTGTCAGTGGGTATCTAATTTGTGTTACACAAGATAATAAAGTTCTAGATATCTGTTGTTAACAAAGTGCACACAGGCACGTGGTTAACACTGCTATATTACACAATTAAAAATATTTAAGAAGGAAAATTGATGTTCTATGTTTTCTTTTTTTATCGGTATATTTTGGATCTATATAATGATAGCATTCAGCATAGGGAGTTTGTACCTGTACATGACATATCTTACTTCTCCTTCTGCTCTCATTCCCCTCCCCTCCCTTAAACTCCTCTTCCCTCCTTATTTACAAAGGGGTTGTTTCCATTTTTCCCTTCTATTCTTGTTTTTCCCATGTCCCTTTCTTCCTTTTTCCCTACCCTCCCTAGTTCTCCTTTCCTTTGAACAATTTCTTCCTATTTCACAATTTCTGTTATACATTTTGGCTGTTATTTACACTTTTAATTTCTCACACCAGAGAGATGATGCACTATTTACACACCTGTGTCCATCTCAAGGGCCATCCATTTAGCTATAAATGTCTCAAGTTTATCCTTCTTTATGGCAATGTAGTACTCCACTGTATTTTAAAAAAAACACACATCTTTTTTCCCCATTCATCAGCTGAGGGGCATGTGAGTTGTTTCCAAGATATAACTATTATAAACTGTGCTGGTATAAAAATGGGTACAAATATATTGCTATGGTATGATGCTCTTAATTCTTTTGAGACTATACCAAGAAAGAGAATAGAATAGCTGGGTCAAATGGGACTTGTAGTACTAGTTTTATGAGGAATCTCACTGATTTCCACAGTAGTTCCACCAGTCTACACTCCCACTAACAGTGGAGAAGGGTTCCTTTTTCCCCACAACCCCACCAGCATTTGTTATTAGTTGATTTCTTGATAGCCAGTCTTTGAGGAGTGAGATGGAATCCTAGTATCATTTTAATTTGCATCTCTCAAATGACCAGTGATTTTGAACATTTTTTCATATATTTATTTGCCATTTCTATTTCTTCATCTGAGAAGTATCTATTCATTTCAGATGCCCATTTTTGGATTGGGTCTTTAAATTTGAGGGGGGGAAGATCTGATTTGTTTGAGTTCTTTATATATTCTAGATATTAGTACTTTGAGAAACAACTGGAAAAATTTTTTCCCACACTGTGGGTTGTCTCTTCACTCTGTTGGTGGTCTCTTTTGCTGTGCAAAAGCTTTTTAATAAGATGAGGCTGCAGTTGTTGATTCTTTGTGATAGTTCCTGTGCAAGCGGGGTTTTATCCATAAAGTTTTTTGCCTACACCAAATGTCCTCAAGAGTTCTACCTATTCTCTCTTCCAACAGACTTAGTGTTTCTGTTTTAATATTTAGCTCTTTGATACATATCAATTTTAGTTTACTGCATGGTACAAGATTTGGGTCTAGTTTTAATCTTTGGCATATGAAAACCATTTTTTCCAGCATCATTTATAAAAGAGTCTATGTTTCTTCCAATGAATGTGTTTGGCTCCTTTGTCAAAGATAAGCTGGCTGAGTGTGTTTGCAGTTGTTTCTGCATCTTCTGATCTGTTCCATTGATACTTGGGTCTATTTTTTGTTTTTTGTTTTTTGGTTTTTTTGGTTGTATCATGTTGTATTTATCACAAATTTTTGTAGTGTAATTTCAAGACAGGGATTGTGATGCCCCCTGCCTTGCCTTTTCTGCCTAGAATTGCTTTTGCTATTCTAGGTCTCTGCTGCTTCCAAATGAATTTTAGGATTGTTTTGTCTAATTCTGTGAGATATACTATTGGAATTTTGATTGGGATTGCATTAAATCTGTATAACAATTTTGGAAGTATGGTCATTTTCACTATATTGGTTCTTCCTAGCCAAAAACAAGGCATATCTTTCCCTTTTTTTTGATATCCTCTTCAATCTCCTTTTTTCACAGTACTGTAGTTTTCAATGTAAAGGTCTTTTACTTCCTTCAATAGATTGACTCTTAGGTATTTCATTTTTTAGATATTATTATGAAAGGTGTTTTTCCCCTAATTTCTCTTTCAGTGAGTTTGTTATTTGTATACAGTAATGCTATTTATTTTTGAGTATTGATTTTGTATCCAACTATACTACTGAACTTGTTTATTTTTATTTTTTTTTCCGGTACCGGGAATCAAACTCACAACCTTGCACTTGCCAGGCAGGTGCTGTGCCACTGAGCTAAATCCCCAGCCCCCTGAACTTGTTTATTAAACCCCACTTTTGGTGGAGATTTGGGGGCTCTTCTATGTAGAGTATCATGTTATCTGCAAATAATTATAATTTAACTTTTTTTCCTTTCTTATTATTATTCCTTTTATTTCTTTCTTATGCCTAATTGCTCTGGCTATTGTTTCCAGAACTATATTGAATAAGAGTGGTGACAGAAGATATTCTTGTCTTGTTCCTGATTTTAGAGTGACTGCTTTCAGTTTTTGTTCATTTATTATGATGTTGTCTGTTGCTTTGTCATAGATGGCTTTTGTCAATTGTGATAAAGACCATCTACTCAAACTTTTGTAGGGTTATTATTTTTTTTTTTTTACCATGAATGGGTGTTGGACTTTGTCAAATGCTTTTTCTGCATCTATTGAGATCATTGTACAGTATTTGTCCTTGACTTTGTTAATATGATGTATTACAGTTATTGATTTGTTTATGTTGAACCATCCCTGAATCCCTTGGATGAATCCTATTTGGTCATGGTGTATAATGTTCTTGATGATTTGGTGCATTCTTTTTGCCAGTATCTAATTGAGGATTTTTGTGTCTATGTTCATGAGGGAGATTGGCATGTAGTTGTCCTTTTTGGTTGGATCCTTCCTTGGTTTTGTTATATATGGTAATTTTTGATTCCAGGAATGAATCTGAGAGTATTACTTCCCTTTTAATTTCATTAAAGAGTTTGAAAAGAGGTAGCATTATGTATTTTCTAAATTTCTTATAGAATTCAGCAATGAGTCCATCAGGGCCTAGTCTTTTCTTTGTTGGTAGTTTTTTAATTGCATCTTCAATTTCATTGACTGATGTTGGCTTATTTAGAATTTTTCTATTGTCTTGGTTCAGTTTTGGTCATTCATATGTATCTAGGATTCTGTCCATTTCTTCTGATTTTTTCTATTTTATTAGAATACAGTTTCTCAAAGTAGGTATTATTGTCTTCTGGATTTTTGCAGGATATGTTATGATTTCACCCTTTTAATTCCTAATTGTGGTGAGTGCATTCCTGCAATCCCAGCTCTTGGGAGGCTGAGGCAGGAGGATCATTGTAAGTTCGAGACCAGCCTGGGCTACAAAGTGAGCTCAAGGTCAGCCTAAACTGCATAGCAAGACCCTATCTCAAAAAGACAAAAAAAAATAATAATAATAATTCCCAATTGCATGAATTTGAGTCTTTCTTTCCTTTTTTGATAAGGTTGGCTAAGAATTGCCCATTTTACTTCATCTTCCAAAGAATCAACACTCTGATTTATTGATTCTTTGTATTGTTTTCTCAGTCTCCATTGCATTAATTTCTGATCTTTATAATTTCCTCCCACATATGAGCTAATAGTCTTGACGTGTTCTTATTTTTCTAGAACTTTGAGGTTCAGCGTTAGGGTGTTTATTTGTCCCTCATTCTGTTTTTCTGATATGAGAACTAACCACTGTATATTTCCCTTGTCGGACTGCTTTCATTGCATCCCATAAGTTCTGGTATGTTGTATTGGCATTATCATTTAATTGTAGAAACTGCTAATTTCCTTCTTTAATTTCATCTGTGACCCATTGGTTGTTCAAGAGGGTGTTATTTAATTTCCACTTGTTTATGAAGTTTTTGTGATTTCTTTAACTATTGACTTCCAGTTTTATTGCATACAGTCTGATAATATGCGTGGGATAATTTCAATTCCTTTATATTTACTTAACCATTTCTATGAGCTAATATTTGTCTATTTGGAGACTATTCTGTGTACAGCTGAGAAGAGTGTGTATTCTGATGTTGTTGGGTGGAACACTGTGTATGTATCTACTAAGTCCATTTGTTCAAAGTTTGGTTCAATTCTGATATTTCCTTGTAGAGTTTTTGTTTGTCTAGTTGATCTGTCTATTTGTGATAGTGGGTATTGAGGTCACCCACTGCAATTGTATTAATGTTTACTTGATTTTTCATGTCTGTTAATATTTGTTTTATATAGTTGGGTGCACTGGTATTTGGTGCATATATATTGATGATTGTTATCTCTTCTTCTTGGATTGTTCCTTTTACAAAGATGTAGTGACCTTCTTTGTCTCTCTCAATCAATCTTTTTTTTTTTTTTTTTTTTTTTTTTTTTTTTTCTCCGGTACCGGGAACCGAACTCACGACCTTGCGCTTGCCAGGCAGGCGCTTTTGCCGCTGAGCTAAATCCCCAGCCCCTCTCTCAATCAATCTTAGTTTGAAATCCACTTTGTCTGCAAATAGAATAGCTACCCTTGATTTTTCCCAGGTTCCTGTCACATGGAGTACTGTTTTCCATCCTTTGTCTTTCAGTTTATGAATTTAATTTTTAATTAAATGTGTTTCTTGTATGCAGTATATTGTCAAATCTCGCTTCTTGATCCATTCTGCCAGTCTGGTGAATTGGTGAACTGATACCATTGACATTAATGGTTATAACTGATATATATTGGATTATCCTTGTCATATTATTTTCTCTGTTGTTGATTAGCTTTTTTCCCCATTTTTAAATTTCTTGCCTTACCTAGTGGATTCATTCTGTTGGGGTTGATGGAGTTATAGTCCTGGTTATCTCTTTCTAGACTATCTTCAGAACTTTTGGAGTGTTGGTTTGCTGATCATAAATTCCTTCAGGTGTTGTATGGAAGTACCTTATCTTTCTTACCCGTTTTGAAAGATAGTTTTGTGGAGTACATCAATGTGGGTTGGAGGCTCTTTTCTTTTAGGGCTTAAAATACTTCTCTCCAAGCTCCCCTTGACTTTAATGTTTGTGTTGCGGAGTCTGCTATGATTCTGATGGGGTTTCCTTTATATGTGACTTGCTTCTTTTCTCTAATTCTGTTCTTGCATTGAATTTCTGGAATGTTAACTATTATATTCCTAGTGATCATGGCTAATTGCAATGTGATAGCCCTCAGTTATCTTTATGTTAAATTCTTTTTCCATGCTTGGGAAGTTTTCTGCCATTACCTCTGTGAATAGATTTTTTATATCATTTGTATCATCTCCTACTTTTTCACTCACTCTGATCAATCTTGTTATTCTTCTTTGTATCTTTTGGCAGCTATTGGATTGATTGTTTTGTGGTCCCTTGCTATTTTTAAGACGTCTTTCTTTTTCATGTTTGCTAACTACAATCCTGTCTTCTAGACCTAATACTCTGTCCTCATATTGGCTTATTTTGCTGTGTGTACTTTCAATGGAATTTTTGATCTCCTGGTTATCTATTTGAGTCTGTTTCATAGATTCTACTTTCTTTCCTATGTTGGGCATTCATGTTGTCCATCATTTCCTCAAGCTCCTTTATTATTTTTAAATCAATCTTCTCCAGAGCCACTAACCATGTCTTTCATTATGGTTATCATCTCTGTAGTTATCAGAGAGATTATTCTGATTCAATTTTTTCTAGAACCTTGTTACTTCCACTGTTACTTCAGAGAGGCCAGAGGGGGTGGCTTTGGGTTGTTCCACCTCATTGTTCCCTGGGTTTGCCTTTGGTGAGTTGGAAGTCTGGGGTTGCATCTTGCTGAAGTGTTATCTAATTATGTAATTTTTTCAGTTTAATTCCTGGGTTGACTCTTGAAAATTGCTTATGGTGAGTAACATCACTGCTAGCATTTAGAGCCCTTAGGAAATGCCTTCTTCACAGAGATGTCATCCAGGTGTTTTGAGTCTGTTGCAAGTTCCTACCTTTTCAATTTATTGAGGATGAGAAGTTGCTGCCTAGTTGGCCTAACCCTGGTTCCTAACCCTGGCACTACCCTATAGTATTGCTTATGATCTCTAGGAAATCTCAGTCTTGGCATATCAGGAAGAATAACTGATTAGATCATGTCACCTTGGCTAAAGTAGTACAATCAGCAATAACAGTAGCATCAATCACAGCCTAGAAAATGACAAACTGTGATAATGATTAATCTGCCACCTTTAACTTTATGAGCTATATTCATGGTTATATAATAAAATCTAAAACAAACCAGAAAATTGTACACAGCAAATATGCCCTTAATATGGTGATTTTACCCTCAGTGGAGAAAATTTAAGAGGTTGGGAGGAAATAGAGAAATAGAAGAAAAAGAAGCAAGCCTAGAGGACAAAGGAAGATAATGTGAACTTTGGGAGACTTGTGAAGAAGACAGGAGGGAAAGAGAGAAGGAAGAAATAAAATCAAGAACAGAACAGAAGAAGAACAACAAGAAAACTAGAAACAATATTCACACTCATAAAAACAAGAACAATCAATCAAGAAAAAAAAAAACTATAAAAAAAAATGAAGAACAGAAGAAAAATAATGTCCACTTCAGGGTGTATCTCTGCTGTCACTGGTAGACAAAGTAGGCAGAGCCCAGATCTGTGTTGATTAATCCTGGCAAGCCTGCACCTTTTGTTCCACTGAAATTCAGGCTCATTCCTGGCTGTGGACTAGAACCTGCTTTGTTCAGCTTGCAACACTCCATGTGTCTCCTGTTGGCTTGAACTTGGCTCCTCTACCTCCTGGCAATTTCAGCCTGGTTTTGCCTCATCCTGACACTGGGAGCTGCTAGGTGGGTCCAACCTGCAGCTGCTCTGAGTTCTGAGCTCAGTTGACCCCTCTCCAAGATGGCTACTGGCCAACTGCCCTCTCCCAGGGAATGTCTGAACCCAAATAACTCACCATCCACTTCCGTCAACTATCCACTGCTTCATTCCACTGGTGCACTTCTCCATGGAGTCCTCTGGGGTTAGCAGTAGTCATTGTGCATTTGCAGGTTTGAGCTGCCCCTCCCATGCAGCAAGTTAGGGCTCAGAGAAAAAAATACCACTTGCCACCTGCTGCATTGAGGTCTCTCTCTTTTCACTTTCCCTATGGGCTTCACTTCTCACTTCAGATCCTTGCTGGGTCCTAGGGACCCACTTCCTCCTTCTTCTTGTGCTTACATTGCTATATTCCAGCATCTAGACACCAAATCTCAGAGACGCTGTTTCTCTACTGTTCACCACTCTACCACTATCTTTCCAGAAGCCTGTGTTTTCTAATAAAAAACTTATCCTTTTAACCATGTTTAGGTATACATTTAGTACTAAATATATTTACATTGTTATGGAATCAATTTCCAGAATGTTCTCATCTTGCAAACATGAAATGCTTGCATGCCATTGAAATGCTTGAAATGCTTGCATGCCATTAAACAACTCCCCCTTTCCCTCAGGTGGCTTCTGTCCAAGATGAGTACCAGCCAGTTGTCCTCTCCTGTGGGACATCTGAACCCAAATAATTCACCAGTCACTGCAGTCTGCTGTATCCACTGCCCCATTCCACTGGTGCACTGCTCCATGGAGGCCTCTGGGGTCAGCTGTAGTCACCGTGTGTCTGCAGGTTTGAGCCACCTCTCCCACACAGTGAGTCAGAAAGCAAAAATCATCATTTTGCTTTCTGTCTCTGAGTTTGACTACTCAGATTTCTCATGTTAATGAAACCATACAGGATTTGTCTTCTTATAACTGGCTTATTTCACATAGCATAATGTCTTCAAAGTTCATCCCTGTCATAGTATGTGATAAGATTTTATTCCTTTCTAATAGTCTAATAGTCCACGTGTATACTTTGTGTACCTGCTTTTGCCTGCCCATCAGTTGATGGACCTCTTGGCACATGGTAAAATTGCTATGAATATAACTGCAAATATCTCTTCAAACTCTTGCCTTCAATTCTTTGGACTATATACCCAGAAGTGGGATGCTGGATCAATGGTAGTTCTATTTTTAATTATCTTGAGAAGCCACTGTACTGTTTCCTATAGCAATCACATCATTTTACAGTTCCACAGACATTGCACAAAGGTATCATTTCTTCATCCTTGCCAATGTTTTGTTATTTTCTTGTTCTCTATCTATAACTACATCATCTATGCCTGTATTTTTATCTATATCTTTATCCATCTTCAAATAGTGTAAGTTAATATAACATTGTGGATTTCTTTTGTATTTCTTTGGTGATTAGTGATGTTGAGTATGTGCTTCTTGGCCAATTGTATATCATCCTTACAGATACACATTAGTTAATTTTTAAATCAGTCTTTAAAATTTTGGTTATTTATAGAGGTTCTTTATATATTTTGTATATTAATTCTTTATCAAGTATAAAATTGCATACATTTATTTCCATTCTATAGTTTGTCTTTTTACTCTCTGAATTGTGTCCTTTGATGCATAGAAGTTTTTGGGTTGGTATCCTTCCATTCCTATATTTTTGCATTTGTTGCCTGTGCTTTTTGAGTCACATCTGATAAATCATTGCCAAGTCCAATGTCACGAAGTTTTTTGACCTATTTTCTTTTAGGAGTTTTAGTTTTAAGCCTTAAGTGTAGCTTTAGATCTTTAACCCATTTTGAGTTAACTTTGTATGTGGTATAAGACAAATGTCCAACTTCATTATTTTCATCCAGTTCTCCCAGCACCATTTGAGAGATTGTCCCTTCCAAGTGTTTGCCTGATGCTGGTAGCACACTGTTTCAAGTACTGTAGATTTGTAAAGTGTTTGAAATCAGGAAGTGTGAGTCCTCTGTCTTTATGTCTCTTTATAAGGGCCTGTTGAAATTCCATATTAAAGGTAGCACGAATTTTTATATTTCTGAAATAAATGCCATTGAGATTTTGAGAGAGATTGCATTGTAGATCACTTTAGGTAGTATGGACATCTTAACAATATTAAGACTTCCAATATGAACACAGGATGTCTTTCCATTTATTTGTATCTTTAAAATTTCTTTCAGTAATGTTTTATAGTTTTCAGTGTACAAGTCTTGTCAACCCTTGTTTGATTCATTTTGAAATATTTTATTCTTTTTCATGCTATTATAAATGGAATTGATTTCTTAATTTCCTTTTGGGGATGCTCATTACTTGTGTATAGAAACAGCTGATTTTTTGTGTGTTGATTTTGAATCTGAGAACCTTACTCAGTTTATTAGTTCTGTGCCTGTGTGTGTGTGTGAGTGTGTGTGTCTGTGTGTGTTCTTTAGGATTTAGTACTTTATTTTAGGATTAATCATGTTGATGTCATTACCTCTGACCACTGCTTTGTATACCATTCCATGAACTTATTCACCTCTTTTCAATGGCACATTTCCTTAGCAATGGACAGGTAGGTTTCTTCCAGTAACAGACATTCTTGTTTGTATCCTCTGCAGTCATGCACACAAGTTTCTTTATGGCCTATACCCAGGAGTGGGATTGCTGGGCCCAGGAATGTATACAGAAAACATTTCCCCAGAGAATACCTTCCAAAACAGTAACACTTCACTCCCAGCAGTAGTGCTTTGTTGGGTCCCATTTTCCCATAAACTCACTGACAGTTTAGCTTCTCCATCTTTCTGTTTTGCCATGTGGATGGGTGCACAAGGGAATCTTACTTTTCTGATCATTAATGCGGTTGAGCATCACTTCCCACACCTGATAAGCATTTGGGTTTCCTCTTGTTTATATGTTTAACTTACCTAAAGTTTTTCTGTTTTTCTTGTTAAGTTGCAAAACATCTGAGTATAATCTAGGTGTGCAGTGTTTGGTGGTTGCAGATATATCTTTTCAAACAGTCACACAGCTGTCTGTAAATTTCATTAGATGGATATATGTAATTTTGATCATATTGCTGCCACTTTATTTGTGCTTTACCATCCCAAGGTCACAAAGATATTCCACATTTTCATCTGGAGTTTACCTTTGTGTGTAAAGTTGGAATGTATCTTTATTTTTCTCCATAGAGTGAGTTAGCTAGATCCACCACCAACCCCCCAAATTCACCTCTTGTTACTATTTTGGGGTGCTACCTCTATCCTAACTTAGGTTTTGAGCTCTATTTTGTTGAATGCTGATTCTTGTTCCTATACCAATGCCACACTCTTTTTAAGTTTTGCTGTTCAGTCATGGTTTGGGATAAGGATGACTTTCTCTTTATTCCCACTCTCAACTACTTATAGATTTTTTTTATATTAAAGAGAATAAAAAAAATTTAAAAACATTAAAAATGATACAGAATTTCAAAACCCAGTGATTGGAAATCAACAATGGTTGTTATATTGCATATTGTTATCTTCAAAGTGGTTGTTCAGATTACCAGATACAGGCATGCAAAACTGATGAAAAATTAAGCATTAATTGTTCCTTTCAATAAATGAACAGAAATTAATAGTGCAATTACCTTAGCTATCTTGTGTATATTTATATATTTTTCCCTGGGCTGGGGATTTAGCTCAGCGGCAAAGCGTCTGCCTGGCAAGCGCAAAGTCGTGAGTTCGGTTCCCGGTACCAGAGAAAAACCAAAAGAAAAAAATAAAATATATATTTTTCCCTTCTTCTTTCTTTTCTACTTTCTCTCATCTCATTTTTTTTTTTTTTTTGAGACATGGTCTCACTATGCAGTTCAGGCTGGCCTTGAGTTCACTTTGTAGCCCAGGCTGGTCTCAAACTTGCAATGATCCTCTTGCCTCAGCCTCCCAAGTGCTGGGATTACAGGCATGCTCCACCATACCCGGCCCCTCATCTCAATTGTTCTCTCCTTTTGAGCAGTTTCTTTCCCTTTCACAATATCTATTGTACCTTTTGGATCTTATTTACTCTTCCAGTTCCTTACACTAGGGAGACAGTATAATGTTTACACATGTGAGTCTGATTTATTTCACTTCTGAGTATGCTCAGTAGTTGCAACCATTTACCTATAAAGGCCTTGAGTTTATCTTTCTGTTTTATTATTTCTTACACAATATAAAGCTCCTTTAGTTTCTAATAAATTTAATGAAGTTTTAATGGGAATTTTATTAGATTTATAAATGAATTTGGGAAAACCATATTAACAATGCTAAAATATTTTTGTCAATGAACATAGTACCTCTCTTTTTTTCTTTTTTTTAGATTTGTCATAGCTAAATCTTGGAAACAACCCAAATGCCCTTCAACTGAGGAATGGCTAAAAAAGATGTGGTATTTTTATACATAGGGTATTACTCAGTTATAAAAAAAAAAGATAAATTGGAGGCTTTTATAGGTAAATGAATGCAACTAGAGACCATACTCTTTATTTCTTTCAAATCATCCTTGAATATAATTTAACTCTGCTCTGCTTAAAAGATATTACATTTTTTTATGAAATATAATTCCCAAAGTTTGTGCTAATTTGTGTTTGCTATTCTGAAAACGTGCTTTTTTGTGCTTCCTATTTAATATACATTCCATTGCTGATATAGAGGAAATTCATTGATGTTTGCAATATATTGGCTACTTTTCTCTCATTGCCAAGACAAAATACCAGGCACCTAAAATTAAGGAAGGAAAGGTTTATGTAGCTCACAGTTTGTGAAGGTTTCAGTCCCTAATCAGCTGGCTCCAAGGCAGAGTGGCACATGGCAGAGGGCAAGAGTTCATAGTGGCCAAAGACAGAAAAAAAACGACAGCAAAAAGGGAGGAGTGAGAGAGCAAGCATCTTTCCCTCCCTTCTATTGTTTGCAGGTACCAGCCCCAGGGCAGGTGTAGCACTCACACCCATAATAATCCCAGCATTGGACCATGAATCAATCACAAACTCTAGAAACCCGCCCCATGACTGCATGAGGCTCTTTTGGGGGAGACACCTAGACACAAACCATAACACAATGCAATCTATATCCAGAGAATTTGCTGAATCTTTTTATTAGTTCTTATAATTTGATTATGTTGAATATCTAATGTGAGCCATAAATTTTTCCCCCTTTCCTTCTTACAGTTTTTATTTATTTTACCAGTTTCATTGCTTTGGCTAAATCTCTGATACTTTGCTAAACTATAGCAGTGACAGCAGGAAACTTTGATAGCAAGGATTAAATCTGAAGTCTCTTCATGTATTATGTTTGCTATAGATACATAATAGTAGACCCATTGACTTTAGAAATATATACTCAATTCTAGTTTCACATGAGATTCTTTTAAAATTCAAAGTGCCTAGATGCACCAAATTTTTTTGAAATAATTATGAAATTTTTGCCTTTCAGTCTATTAGGTAAAAATTGCATTAATAATTTATTCCATTAAACTTCCATAATTTTGAAATAACTTTTACTTGTTTATAATTTTTAAATATACTCCTGTGTATAGTTAGCTAACATTTTGTTTAGAATTTTCAAACATAAAATAAACTTAAAGTTTTCTTTGTTTCTACCATCTTCATCTGACTTTTCAATAAAGATTAGACCAGTCTCACAATGATGGAGGAATTTATTTCTATTTTCTGAAACAATTAATGTATCCTAGGGGGTTATCTTATCCTTTACAGTGGGTGGAATCTATCTCTAAAACCCTTTGAG